TGGTATTTAGAAACAAAAGATCTACTTACCCTATTTCAGAGTGGTTTTCGCAAGGGACGGTCTACATTAGATAATCATATTTCACTACAAACCTCAACCAATGAAGCCTTTGCAAACAATCAGAAGTTGTTTGCAATATTCTTTGACATAACCCAGGCTTTTGATAGGACATGGAAACACTCTATATTAGCAACATATGGAACTCAACGTAACATGCTTGCTTTTATAAAAAAATTCTTAAGTAATCGTTCTATACATGTTAGAATAAATGGAATCACAAGTTCTTTAAAAATGTTAGAAAATGGAATCCCTCAAGGATCCATTTTAAGTCCAACCCTATTTATAGTGGCTTTTAATAGCATCATAAATTAGAGCTCCTATTAAAGCTAGCATTTACTCGGATGATATTGTTATCTACATCAAATCTAATAACCTAGCTTCATCAACAAATATATTACAACTTATGTTAAATCAACTTCAAAACTGGGCATTACAAACCGGATTCAATTTTTCTGCAGAAAAAAACTCAATACGTAATTTTAAGTAAAAATAACACTCACCATACAATTAATTTAACATTAAATGATTTACCTATAAAGCAGTCAACAGAAGTAAATCTTTTAGGCCTAACTTTCGATAAAAAATGAAATTGGAATGTGCATATTAATCCATTACAACAAGCATGCCAAAACCGGTTAAACATACTTAAAATATTATCTAATAAATTTTGGGGTGCCGACTGTAAAACATTAATTAGCCTTTACAAGTCACTTATTAGAAGTAAATTAGATTACGGTTGCATATCTTACGGTGCTGCAAGCAAAACTGCTTTAAAAAAACTAAATAGCATACAATCTACAGCTTTGAGATTAGCACTGGGTGCCTTCAGAACTAGCCCTAGTATCTTACAAGTTTTAGCGAGAGAACCCCCTCTGTATATTAGACGCCAACAACTATCCCTAAACTATATAGGCAAAATATCAGCACAGAAACAACATCCAGTATTCTCCCAAATTTGCCATCCTAGTATTGCTTCTACAAAACTAACTAAAAATAGTACTCCCCTTATAGAACGAATAAAATCCTCTAACTTTGACATGGATAAGCTAAATCGATCTCTACAAGTCAGTGTAAATTTTACTCCATGGACAATCCAACCACTTACCATTGACTTAACCCTCACAAAATATCCCAAATCAACTACAAATCTGATTTTCATTAAACACTTGTACTCCGACGTGATATCTCATTATCCTAATTATCTCCAAATTTTCAGTGATGCCTCTGAAGCTCATGACGGACATGCTGCTGCATACTATTGTAAATACACTTCTCACACTATATCCATACCTACTAACTGCTGCATACTCAAAGGCGAGACCACAGCCATTTTGGAAGCCTTAATTTTCTTCAAAACGCCTAGTGAGAATAAATGTGTCATCATCACTGACTCATTAAATGCTCTATTAGGTGTAAAACAAATATACCCTACAAATCCAATATTTCGGGCTATAAAAAATAAGATAAATATAACTCAATAAAATCGAAAAGAGGTAGCATTTATCTGGATACCGTCGCATGTAGGAATAGCTGGAAATGAGAAAGTGGATAGCCTAGCAAACACAAGTCGAATAAACTCACAATACATAAACAAATTAAGAAATTACCCATACTCCGATCTCAAAAACTTAATTAAAGACCACTGTATGAATACATGGCAAGACAACTGGAAAGATTCATGAACCAAACTATATGAGATTTATCCCCTTGTGAAGACCATCTTGAATAATCCATCCAATAGAAGGGACCAAGTAATAATTAACCGACTAAAAATTGGACACACTGCACTGACTCATAAATTCTTAATCAACAAAGAATCTTCTCCAACCTGCAGAAAATGTTCTCTCCCATTGAAGGTGAAGCATATTCTGATTGACTGCCAGTACCACGTAGAAACAAGAAGAAAATATGGAATCTCAGATGACATCAAAATCACATTAACCATAAACACTGACCATGTAATAAATTATTTAAAAGATTTACGTTTACAGTCTGTCCCAAACCCTTTTTTCAGTGCGTCACTAATTTTGACGTCATATAGGATTTAAAGAATGTCGAGAATTATTGCATGACATTTTAGTTAAATCTGACAGTGGCAGGATCGTAATCTGCTAAATGTGAAAAGGTTATTTTTTTTTTAAATGCATAACAGTTTGTCATAATTCTGTTCTATTTTATACATTCCATGGAAATTGCTTAATTAGCTTGGATTCGTTTATGGATTTATTTTTATTTATTACAAACACACAGGCATATTGCAATGACAATTGCAATTGCAAGGCATCAAAGTAAACATTCCTGTGATAAAATAACATCGATTTAAATCAGTCATATTTGGTTAAGTAGTTTTCTGATAAGTTTCTGTGGCAGCCAATAGTTTAATTTTGTGAAGATTTGTCATTAAATAGTGGAAATAGGTTAAATAGTGAAGCAGTTGATTTTTGAGTTATTCTACCAGATTTGGTGTGCAAATAAAAGAAGGTTATAAAGTTTAGTTAAAAAAAAACAATATAAATAGTTTAAATAGTGAAGCAGTTGATTTTTGAGTTAATCTACCAGTTCCGGTATCCAGATGAAATCGTGTTAATGGAGTTTAGTTAAAAAACAAGATACCGAATGTAAGTTTACCTTCTTTTTTATGAATAACAAAAATGAATATTATATTTCAAACAATCCATAATCCCATTCAGAATCTGATTCTTTAAAATCAATGATTACACTAGATATGTGGCTGGTATCAATTATATCTTACATTACAAGAAAATGTCGTGGTTCTAAAAAGAACCGTTTTAATACATATAAATATCCATAACGGTATTAGTTTAAGATATTTTCTCAATATCATTCCGGAATTCACAATCTGATTCGCGAACGACAGAAACTGATAATAAAGATAACTCAGCCTCTTTTTCTAATTGAAACTAATTTAATAATTTTAATATTAGTCTTTGTTCATTCTCGGTATATCTCGGAATATTTAAAACATTTTTATGACAATAAATACAAAATTTAATTTTCACTGTAGGTAAAATGTCTGAAAATACTAACCTGGAACGGCAATTATCATTTTATCAGTTGACATTGTGAAAGTACTGTCACTGTCATTATCAAGATCATCTGTGTCAAATTATATTTATATGCATATGTAATAATCAGATTTACGAGAGTGATAAGAAGTTTAGGATTAGGGGGTAAGGAACTTCTATGTATAGGGTCCTGTAATTGACTGTCACCACTGTAAAAAATAGAAATGGGAGCGTTATGTGAAGGTAAGGAAACGCTGTCACCAAATGAAATACACAATAGATCCTCATGGGATGCTAACCCTGCGAGCGGCTGCAAGGAATACTGGTCACACTGGTCTGGAGGGCTGGCTCGTCTTCGTGGATTTACGAGAAGATAAGGGATTTCGGGATAGGGGTAAGGACTCCTAGGTCTCAGGTCCTGTAAAGAGCAGAGGTTATGGGCTTACTTTTGAAGCCGGAGACATGCATACGCAGAAATCTCGTGTTCTCCTAGTCTCTAGAGAGTCGGACGAAAGGAACATCAAAAAAACTAATTTAGAGTCAACAATATATTGAATCTACCCTGAAGTTACAAATACAATCGTTAACACTTTATTCTGCGCGTCGGGAGATGATGAAGCAAGATAGTGAAGAGTTGACAGTTGTACTAATATAATTACACAGGTTAGTATAAAGAAATCTGTTACCTTATGTGTATATTAGGGCTTTCAACCACGACACGTTCAGTCTTCTGGAACTCGGTCAGTTGAGGGTTGCGAACTTTCGAGCTGCCACAATAACCGGACTACACGCGATACTATGCCAGATGATACGCGGCCCCCGGAGAATCACCGACTGTCTCGTACTGTTCGCGTACTGGACGCTATCGCGTCCGAGCCCGGAGCTCAGCAATTACTGATCGCCCATTACCAACTACTGACTTCTAACTACTCGTACCCGACGCTCCCGCGTCGAGAGTACCCGGAGGCAATTGGTGCCTGGACGCCCGCCGTATCACTACTACTGACTGACTGACTACTCTGGTTCGGTTTTTATCAAATGGTGTCCTAGTTGACAGGTTGTAGTCCAAGGTTACGTTTTCGCCGAGTTGTAGTTTTGGCGTTATTGCTGCCTATTTGGGTCACGGGTGTTTCGTGCTTTTTATACGTTTAAACAATTATCAAACAATGCAATAACTAGGTCAATTGTTATACTTTGTATAATTTAAATGTATAAGTTAACTGTATTAATTATCCCTTATTTAATTTGGAATATATAATAATTATCTCGAATAATTATTATCTTTTCTATGCTACTTATTATTCCATTATCCCTTTCTTCCAACTTCTCACTCACTTGCTACGCTTACATTACACATAATTGATTGGATATCTATTTAGCGTATTCTAAACTCCAACCAATTATACGTTCGTAAGTAGAATTCGCTTTAGTATGCGAATACCCGTGACCGATACCTAATTTTCTAAGTTATATGTATAATAATCAGGGACTCACGTTTTTTTCTGTCACTTCTAGCTTAATGCGTTAGAGAGAATTCGAACAACTATGACGCACTGAAAGAAGGGTTTGGGACGGACTGTATATACATCTATTTAATGTAAATAAAATGAATTCTTGTGTATGTTACTCCACTAATAACCATGCGTGGTTGATGTGGATTATATGTTAAAATAAAAAAAAATTAAAAGATTGTAAATATCGTGAAATCGTTATATAGGTAATAGGTAGTTATTTCTATTTTATTTAGGTAAAATATAAAATAAATTTCACTACAACTTAAATCAAACGATAATCTCTAGTAAATAAGACATTAAACACATTAGCATTAGTCTTCACAAAATTACACCATCTATAATTATATTAAACATGGTATATTTTAAACTGTTTGGGTTGAACTGGATGTCTATTTTGTAGAACAACACGTATTTTCAAAGGAATTATGTCGAAGTATGGTTGCTTTAGCGGATACGGATCTCTCAGGAAAACTCAATTTCCAGGAATTCTACGAGCTTTGGGAGCAAATTGGAGAGTTAAAAGTAAGCATAATAATATTTATAACATAGTTAATCTATCAAACAGAAGAAACGTATTGTGAACGTAAACGTGTCTAAAAGTTACTTAATTTTGTTTATATTTGAATTTTTTTTATTGACGTTTATACAGTTACTAACAAACTTTTCTATTATTTAGTGCATTTAAATTTTATTTTAAAAAATACGATTTATCTCCAAGGAGTTATTGTTTTTCCTAAAATATTTTCAAAAAATTTCTGTTTTTTTATATATGTTTTGATTGTAGCATTGTGGATTGAAAAAGTTGAAAAAATTAAATTTTTGTAAATTACTTTAGTATATGTTAACAGATACTTATTAAATTGTTGGCTATCCATCACGTCAATGAATGTTATACTTATTAAATACATTTACACAAAAATAACAGCAGAGAAAGGACAAACAGTTTAAAATGTATTTCGATGCTACATTGTGGCCAACGGCCAGTGACAGAACGGCTCCTGGTCTTAACAGAAATGTTAAAGTAACATCTGACAGACAACTTAAATAAGCATCTAAGAATTAATTAAGACGCTCGTTATTTATAGCACTGATATACTCGGTTCGCTATTCCCAGTCCGAATTGTCTAGTGAATTTTGTAATTATTTTTTTGCGAAGTTAGTTACTTTTTGACGGACTAAAAGTGGCCGGAAATTAATATACAACCAAGCATACATACTCATAGCCAATATTAATAATAAACAAACTAAATAATTAATATTTTAAATTAATATATATATATATATATATATATATATATAATAATTAATATATATTAATTATATATATTAATTATTAATATATATTTTTAATATAATATTTTATATTAATATTTTTAAATTAATATTTATTTATCTGCACCATATTATAAATAGTTATGTTAAATTATAACAACTAAAATATATTTTTAAAATATGTACTACCCAAAATTTGATGGGTTTAGTATACACTTCCACTATTTAGTGTGAGGTTGCTATTGAATAAGATTTGATCTTTAAAAAGACGTTCTGTATGGTAACATCTGATGACATACCAGCAAAGTATTTTTCACAGTAGCAGAAAAATTGTACCTATATGTCCCAATAAAAAACAATATTGGTTATTGTTTATTATTGATAAAATTATAATTATTTATGATCGATGAACCATTCAAAAACTAATAAATCCAGTTTAGAATGCTATTTTAAGTTTACCTAAGGAATATTTAAACTTACAGTCTTAAATAATGTATACTTTTCAATACTTACAATTAAACACAAAAATATCTAGAGGCGAGACAAACGTATTGTTTACACCTTCTGTCAGAGCCAAACTGGAACAACATTATTGTTATTATTGAAATATTTTTAGTACGATAATAAAATCTAAAAGAGCTCGTTTTGTATATACTGGTGCTTGTGAAAATTACAAAAGAGATAGTAGATCAACGTTATAATAAAGGTTGGTATTCTTTTACGCAAACTATTGTGAACATACTTTTTCTACAAAAACAAAATATAATTATTTTCGTCTATAAAGTACAATTGTAAATATTTTATAGATAATCTCTAAGAACAAAGTTTATAAAATGTTGGAATGAGATTTACAAAAGTTGTACCATTCGTAACCTGTCAAAGAAACAATTAAGTCGAAGATGCCAGAATGGAACAAAATACTAGTTTTAAATCGAATAACTTCATTGTAAATTTTGAACTTTATTGCATTAATTTTGATGCATGAACCCTTACCACGACGGTCACTGTTTTTCTTTTAGTTACGAGAAGGCTATCTATCAGTTGTTGAAGCCATTCCTCAATCGAATCATTTTTTACTTTCTCTCTCTCTATTGACTCACAAGAATTCGTGCCTTTAATATGGCTATGATAGAGTATGTCACACACATACTATATTTGGTTCAGGTCTGGGGAACTTCTTCTTTAGGTGCCGTGTCCGTATTCAGAAGTTAGCGGACATCATGTTTACAATTTCCTGAAACCTTTGTCTATCGGCTGCTGTACCAAATAAGTCTTCTACTATGGCACCACACCATTATATAGTATTATGCAGCCACGAAAGTTTTTTTCAACCAATCCATCTTTCTCTCCTCACTTTTCCTTTTAATATAAGACGAAGAAGGTGGTATTTGGGTCCTCTAATTATATGGTCAAAGTATTCTGTTCTTCTCCCTCTTTATGATATTTTTGAGCAGACGTTTTGAATTTTTCATTTTAAGGACGTCTTCATTGGAAGTGTGCGAAGCACGCTGGCAAATTCATTGTTGTTATACCCCTTTTTATAACAAGGCACACAGAAGCATAAGATACCACTTGGTCTTGAAGAAAATCACTGATGTACCTATCTGCTGTTAATTCTCCACCATCATTTATCACTGGTTATGCCTCCAAACATAAGTGCCCCACGGTATAATTAAACCTCCACCGAAAGGTACAATAGTAGTAGCTTTTGGTGCACCTATAAATATAAGAGGTTCATTTTTTCTCATCGACATACATACAATCTTTCCCTAACGTTGATGAAATTTACACAGAAACGAGTCTTGCCTGTGAAGATAATTTAAACCAATTTGTTATTATTTCAATTTTAGTTATTTTCAATGTTAGTCGCGCTCCACGATGGAGTATCTGCAGTCTGGATGTTTTTATTGGCATATATGACTTGATACCTGTTTCTGAGTCTTTTTTTGGTATACTTACGACCGTTTCATACATACCGTTTCTAACGGCTTACAGTGCGGTGGATGGTTGATGATGATTTACCAAATATTCGAGAAATTTACCTATACGTTAGAATACGTTCGATCATTGTTAAGACCATAGCAATATCGGTATTAAATCAGCTATGATTAGTTGCTTTTTGCAATCAGAACACAACTAACTTAAACAAATCTAACGAAAAACCAACTTCCACGTAACCAAACAAATTAAACAATCAATTAAATACAAGCTAGTACTTTTTTGACAGTTCTGATATTTAAAACTTCAATTTTGATTTAGGTATAACCTCTTCCTTTAAATGTGCTGGCGTATTTATATATTAGTAGATGGGCTTTTATTACAATCAGCTTTCCTCTAAGTCTATACCATTTTCAATACGCAGTTAGAACAACGCAGTTTCCAAAATTATGCTGAAACGCCACCATAATTTCTGAGAATCCTACAAATTTGAAAATTACTTTGGTAGTCTAAATCATTCACAAACAAAAAACTGTTCCTGTTACTATATGCCCTTAACTTTACATATTACGTTAGTTAAAAGTTTAATTAAAAATCCTTTGTAATAGGTATATATTTATATATATATATATATATATACCTATTAAAAAGGATATATATATATATATATATATATATATATATATATATATATATATATATATATATATAAATTATGATTTTTGAGGATGCAGTCAGTTTATTTGGCCCACAAGACAAAAAAAAACTCTTTGACTTACTGTCAATCTTTCGAATTTTATTTAATTCTTTTTCAAGACATTAGTCGTGAGATTACAGTTGTTACTATTATTATACTTTACAAAACAAACCATTATAAATATATTAAAAAATTTTTTTTATTAAAAATAACTATATTGTCACTATTAAATTAAATTATTATAATTATTTATTATAATCATTAATTAATTATTATAATTATTTATTAAATGTTAATAAAAAATTTTTTTTAATATATTTATAATGGTTTGTTTTGTAAAGTATAATAATAGTAACAACTGTAATCTCACGACTAATGTCTTGAAAAAAAATTAAATACAATTAGAAAGCTTGACAGTAAGTCAAAGAGTTTTCTTTGTCTTGTGGGCCAAATAAACTGACTGCATCCTCAAAAATCATAATTTATATTTAAATCAACAGTCAAGAATACCACCATCTTATATATATATACATATATATATATATATATATATATATATATATATATATATATATATATATATATATATATATATATATAAAATATATACCTATTACAAAGGATTTTTAATTAAATTTTTAATACATGGTATACAGCCAACTACAGGAACGTAGATTCCTTGTGAATTAAAAGTTTGTGTCAAAAAGAAGTTTCAAATGATGCATATTAATTTGCTTTATATATTTTCGCCAGATTAAATAATAAAATGTACCTTTTTTGTCATAAAATATACCTTATATACCGATAAACTTTTATATTTTTTCGCCAGATTAAATAATAGAATGTAACTTTTTTGTCATAAAATATACCTTATATTTTATATACCAATAAATTTTTAATTAGAGGTCATTAAGTCATTAAACATAAAAATAAATAATTTATTATTTCTTTCACAGTTTTGTTTCAAGTACAAGTGTGTTTATTTTTCAGGGCATTTTCAAAAATTTTGATTCAGATAGTTCCAATGGAATGTCAGTACGTGAACTTCGACAGGCTCTTAGAGTAGCTAATTTCCAACTTAGCAATAAAATTTTATCCCTAATCGGACTGAGATACGCAAACGAAAAGGATGAGTTGGAATTAGAAGACTTTTTGCACTGTTGCGTTAAATTAAAATTAATGATAGGTCAGTATATATTACTCTGATTTCTATTTTATATAGTCTAATTTATATAGTTATAAGTCAAAAGTTATACTTTGTTAAGTATATAAGACTTTTAATTTGTTTTCGTGCCAATGTAATATGCATTTGTCACAAATAGCTTGTATGTACACTTGGACTTTGATATTAGGCTCTAGCTCCGATGCGTAGTAGACAGGAACAAAATTGCATCATTTTTATTTCGTGATCGTTAAAAGCGAAGTGCTTGTATACCTATATATATATATATATATATATATATATATATATATATATATATATATATATATATATATATATATATATTATATATAAATATATAATATATATATATATATATATATATATATATATATTTATATATATATATATAAATGTATATATATATATATATATATATATATATATATATATATATATATATATAGATACTTATATATATATAAATATATATATATATATATATATATATATATAATATATATATATATTTATATATATATATATATATATTTACGGCATAAAGTGAACTCCGCCCATGTTAAAATTCAGGTTCAAGTGAGCTCCGTGGTCAAGTGGCCACCGATATACGGAGCTCACATGACCATTCCATAATATTGGCTCTGTCGATTCGTTAAGATGTATAGTTTCATAATTCTTAATAAAATTTTGGAGCTCATAAGTACCCCTGTATCATAAATGTATTTCGCTTAGTTCACGTGTATATATTATAGGGGTCGTTCAGATCTTTTTTACTGTATATTGGAACCATAGGAATATCGGTTTAAGTAAGCTCTGATAGTTTGGCAACTATGCACTTAGGCCAGCGTTCTTGATATATATATTTTATATATTTTAAACGGTTCATACGGACTCCTTTGCATACGCATTACAATATGTAATCTTCTTCTTCTTGATGTGCCTATCCGTTATGAATGTTGGCGATCATATTGACAATATGTAATAGATATGTATAATACCAAATACCTGTTTTTGGTAGGTACCTGCTATTCTAAAAATAGCTTTATAAATACAAAAGGATTTCATTACCAAGTTGGACGTGTTTTTTCATATGCGAATATTTCCTTATGTATTTTGTTAACATGAATATGTCTTTATACGTTTTATTTAAGAATACGATTAATAAGAACTTTTAGTTAATCCATTGTTTTACGATATCTTGTATACAGCTTCTTTATTATTTTATTTCTGGTTTTATCTGTGTACTACATATAATTCTGGATAGGTTATCTTAAAATAAATATTTAAGTGCAAAAATAGATATTTTTATGTAAAAATTGGTAGTAGTGCACAAAAGAGGGAAGAATGCTTAATTATTTATATAAGAAGAATGTACCAGTTCACCAATATTACATACTTCTAAATGTTTTATCTGCTATTTAGGGGTAATATGTAATCAATAAATGTGGAGTTAGTGTCAAATTTGCAATAATCTTTGGTCAGTTTTTTCTCGATTTTAGTCATAAATTGAGCTGGTATTCGTTGAGTGGATGTTGCGATTCTAGACTTTGTATCTTTTATTCTCTAGCCGTCTAGCTACTTATCTTCGGATATTAGGTGAATTGATAGCTACGATATTGTAGAGCTTATGTATGGATGTGTGTGTGTGTGTGTGTGTGTGTGTGTGTGTGTGTGTGTGTGTGTGTGTGTGTGTGTGTGTGTGTGTGTGTGTGTGTGTGTGTGTGTGTGTGTGTGTGTGTGTGTGTCTTAATATTTGCTGAATTTGGCTGTCTAATTTATAGCTAAATCTACGTGTTAAATATGTGTTGGTGTCATCCATACTTGCAAGGTATATTCGGTAGCAGAAGCATAGAGTGCAAGCGTCTACGTTTTAAGGATGAAAGGATGCTTCTCATTTTTAGCTGACAAGTTTGCAGAGAATATTTTTCTGGCCCTCAGTTTGCCTTTTAGTTTTAAACAATATTCTATGAATGACAAAGTGTGATACAAACTATCTTCAAGGTATTTATAGTAAGTCCAGAGTTTAAAAATTTCATGACACTATTGGATGTTTAGATTTTTAAAAGCATCTCTGTTAGAGACATTAAAGCAGGACATCTGACTTTTTCTGAGGTTTGGCTTAAAATTGATTCATAGTCTATTTTTATTGTGATGTAAGTATGATTTAGATTTTTCTATACTTCAGCAACAAAAGTTTTTGGTTGTGCAACAATATAGATGTATCGTCTACATAATAAAAGTCCTAGTATTTACTGGTATGGGTTGTGTAAATATTATACAGTGTAGGTACCATTACGCTACCCCAAAGGAGACCGTTCTTCTGCGTTTTCCATCTGTTATTTTTACCATTGAATGATACGAAAAATTTTCTGTTGTGTAGGCATACCCGGACAATACAAGCCATTGTTGTATTTTTGATCCAAATTTTAGAATTAGTTTTGTACTCAGATCTTTAGTCAGGAGCCGTAATATTGTTTATTATATACGTAGATAGCAGATCCAAGCTCAACACCGTTGAAAGATTCCCTTAGCAGACTGGTTTTGTCCCCTCTCATTTTAAGTTTTTCTTTTCTTGTTTGCCTATGTTTGGCCCTCAATGTGTTTCCTGCACTAGAAGTACGTCACATTTGTGTTAACCGCATATGTCTGATAAAGTTAAGTAAAGTAAAGTACCTATCTTTATCTCTGGATATTCCCTTCTCTAATATTTATAGACTTAATTAGGATAGTTGGCATTAAAAAGGCCGATTTGGCTTTTGGGATCTTTAAACCCTATAAAATATGGCTAATCTTTTACTTTTCATTAAAAATTTTAATTTTACATACCGTTACTTTTAGACAATATTTCGATCAGATTTGTATAGTAATAAATGTAGTTAATATATGTAGAGTCTCTTTGTGAACAATAAATGAGTTTGTAATATCGGTCACAACTCATATATGGATAATAAGGAAATAAACGGTTAAAATAGGTGTACAAAATTTTAACTACATATATCGGCGCCATTGTTCAGGAGTTTATCTCAGTGGGTTTATCTCAGAGATCAAAGGTTACGTTACATGCATATTCCAGGTTCTATTTACGTATTTTCATTCCTAAAAGAGTATATTTATAATAAAGCCCTGAAGCTACCTTTAGATTCTATGAAAAGTAGAATCTATGGAAATTAGCAAATTAAAAAATAAAGACATAATTCTGAATGGCCAACTTGAGACAAACAATTCTCCCGTCCTTAACTTATTCAGTTACAAACTATAACGTGTAAACGCATACATCTTTTATTGTTAGATAAAATGAATTTTTATCAAGTAACGGTCGGATCCATCACTTACTAAAAGAGTAGAAAATGACATGCTTATGCTTTAGAGTACGGCTACTTTAGTACAAAATACCCTTTGCTTTTGCCAATTGCTTTCTCACTTTCTTAGCGATGGGCCTGGCTTTTCCTTATCAATAATGTTCTCGTTCGTTATAGTTATTCTAAGATATTCAGATTTCACTATATGCTCTACATTTGGTTTTATCTAATATAAAGTTACAACTATGACGAAATTTTTATAATATTTTATGCATTGATATTAAACTGATATTAAACTGAGGATATAAAAATCAACAATAAAACCGATAATGACGTACATAGCGGAAACAAGAGCAGATACGGCGAAAACACAAAGACTGCTAGAAACAACAGAAATGAAAATCTTACGAAAAATAACAAACTAAACTCTAAGAGAAAGAGTAAGAAGTGAAGAAATATGAGCGAGGTGTGGTTTAGAGGAAATAAACGCGTGGACCAAAAGAAAAAAGCGGAATGGAATCAACACTTCGAAAGAATGACAGAAAATAGAATAGTACGAATAGCAAGAGACAAATCGCCAAATGGAAGGAGATCATTGGGACGACCGAGGAAAAGATGGTCAGACAACGTCAATTGAGGTTCAAAACCGAAGTAAAACAGGCATTAAGCCTATTTATAAAGAAGGAAGAAGAAGAAGAAGATAATAAACTGGAGTAGAGCACTTGGTAGATAATATTTATTTGTTTTGAGTATACTTATTTTACAACATAGTACATAAAATAATAAATATTTGTGTGCTCAGTTTTTTGCTCTGAATTGAAGATTTTATCTCAAAATATGACTGTACTTTATACAAATATTATTATTTTCTGAGATACCGGTATAAATATAAATTTTGAATTTCGCAATGATTTTTTAAAATTATTTTCTTGTGACGTTATGTCAGTGTTTAAGAATAATGCTGGGAATAAGGTTAAATAGCTTTTTATATTTTATTTGACGTTTAAATATTTAAATCTGAGTTCATTTTTCGAAAAACTATAAACTTGTGACAACAAATTGCTATATAACAGTATGAGGCAATATTCTTATGCTGTGACAAAATCATCATATTTGCTTTACATTGCCGTTTTTCCTGCCGTATCATATTTTAGCATAGTCTTTTGATTCATTTTATAGACAAGCGGTAATGGATATCCACAATTTGTCTAATAATATTAAATTTTAAAAACAGCTGTGCTTTTATGCTCATTCGTTTACCTTTTGTAAAGCCACCTGAGTTATGAATAACTACTTTTTTGTATTTTTAGAAGACATACTTCTATCGGCATATTTTGAATGTGTGAATATTAGGGATTTATATAATCTTTTTGTATATATAATTTGTTTATTGATTTTACATTTTAGATAAAATTTCATAATTATAGTTCTCTTCCGTTTATTTTCTATAGTAATACATATACAAACCCAATTAGAAATGGAGAAAAACCAGCGAGTTCTATATTGAACATAGACATTCGTCTCTCTTTCTCCCTATATGTTATATAAAGGTCATCGTCATCATATAGTCAGAACGCAACAAGGTTCTATTACCTTTTCTTCTTTTTGTCTCCTCATTACTATTGAAAACTCAGCCACGTAAATGACGTTGTAAAAATTTATTTCCCTATTTCTCAAGTGCCTTTCCTGGGATAACTTTTTTAA